TTGTTTCTGTTAACTTTTAGCTTTGTTAAGGGTCTATTTGAGAGTTCTAAGCCTAGTACACTCAAGGATTGGGTGTTAGGAAGTATTTTCTTGAGTTCATTGAGTTGCAATTGAGCCGGATGTCTCACAACCCAAAATTTTTTGCCTTCTAAGTCCAGCCAATCAATCGAGAGTCAGACTCGTTTCTGCTATCGTTTAGCATTGTTTAGGGCCTGTTTGAGTGTTCTAAGCCTAGTACATTCAAGTTTTGGGTTTAGGGATGAGTTAGCTTAGTTTCTTCATGTTGCACTCGAGCAAAACACTCCTTCAAGAGGAGTTTACGGCCGTACACCCATGGTGGCCGTGAACCAATGCCCATATATAAGCCATCTTCATTTTTTTCATTTATTCCTTCATCTTCCAGTCAAGAACTCGAGTTCTCTCTCAACTATCATCTCTGCTTTTCACCTTGATCTTCAAAAATGTAAGTATTCCTTCCATTGATTATTTGATACATTGTGTTATCTAGTAAAGATCCATGATTCAAAGCCTTGAAACATCACCAAACTCATGAACATCAAGAGTGTACGGCCATGCACTCTATCTACGACCGTATACCCTTGTTAGGATCATAAACTAAGGCCTCAAACACTTGCTAGGTACTTGTTATCCATTAGAACTCTTGAACCCTTGAATCCCTATGAACCAAGACCCAAAAATGCATACATTTTGGAGTGTGTACGACCGTACACACTTGGTGTGGCCGTACACCCCCTCAAGTCCTTCCAAAATGAAAGCTCTGTTCATCCAATTATTGTGCAATTGTCACACTAGTTTCCCCATGGATCAAACACCCTCTTTTTGCATGTTTTCCCATGAGTGTACGGCTGTACACTCCATGGCCATACACCCATTGTCTGTACACTCCATTGTGTGGCCATAAACCCCTTTTAGTCAATCACATGTGATTGTAACACTTAGTTCAATTGTTTCCTAGTCCCTAAGGGTGTTTCCTTGCATGATAGTTATGTAAAACACTAATTTCATGCCTATATATGCCATTATATGTCATTTAGGACTCGTTTGTGTCTCGAGAATTCATTCGTGGAACTTCTTATCTTTACGCGAATTTGCAATTTAATCACCCACATAAGGTGAGTTCATACCCCTATAATCAATCTTTTAAATGTTTTAAATGCTTTTAAGGGGGGGGGGGAATACAAGTTGAACACAATGATAATTGTGTAAATGTTATCTGTGATAAACATCATTTTAAAGGATTTCTTATGTGTTTATAAGTGATCAAATCATTTCAAAAACTCTTTTAAAGTTCTGTTACTTTATAGTTTATAAAACTCCATTTTTAAAGTACAATCATAACTCAGTAGATAAATGAGTCTTTTCAAGTCATTAGCAGTTCAAAGTGAAGATACTAGTAAACTATAATAGGTATAGTTTAGGGGTTCGGTTCATACTATAAAGAGAAACAGGGAGGAGCATACTATAAAGAGAAACAGGGAGGAACATACTATAAAGAGAAACAGGGAGGAACATACTATACATATACAATAATACTATAATAATAATGTGAAACCACTACTTCACGGCTTAGCAATATACTTGTTAGGTCGCGTTTTGTAACCAGAGTCTCCTGGAGGGAGAGCATGAGTTTGTGTATAGATCTATACGGGATTGACACCCCACACCTTGCTGCTAGCTACAGTGGGACTTGCAAGTCTACGGGTGACAAATATCACATAAGTTCGACGCCATTAGGTCCTTCGTGTTATCATGTGTCGTATCAGTATGGTTATAACCACATCACATTTTAAACCTTAATTAACAAACTGTTTTTAAGGTAGTTAGTGCTTCAGTAGTCACTTTTTACAGCATTACTGAATACTTTCATCATTTTAAAGGGCAAACAGGACAGTCTAGTCTTAGTACATTCAGTTAGAAAGGGGCCTATAATGCTAACTTTATGATTCCTTAGTTTATACATCAGGGATATATATTAATCGGGTCCCGTAGACAATAGAATGTGTGCTTTCCGCTTCATTTCCTGTTCCTTGTTTGGTTATGGGCTTAGAGCAGATTCACCCAGTCTACTATCTAATCGACCTTAGCTATATATATATATATTCTGTATACACCAAGTAATCATAAGGAGTACCAGGTATGGGTCATGTCATAGGATATAAATTCAATACACCGTTTTTTTAGTACAAAAACATACTTTCCAGATAGAACATTGATTAAACTAAACTAGAAACTTACCAGTAAAGGGTTTAATCCATTTTATTAAACCAGTATAACTTAAAGGACCTTAAGTGGTTAATCCTATAATACCTTAGTTTATACATCAGGGTTATATATAATTAATATCCGATAGGTAGTTGGATGTGTGATTTCCGCCTTACTTCCTGTTCCTTGTTTGGTTGTGGGCTTAGGGCAGATTCATACAATTAACTATCTGTTCGATATTAGATTATATATAGCTAGTATAAACTAAGTGATTATAGAAGGAACTATTGTGGTTACCGTTTTTTACTAAAGAAAATAAGGGTTTTTCTTAAAGAATGTTTTCATCAAATATAAAGGAACTATTACAGTTAACTCCGTGAGTACCAGGTGAATACACCAGGGTTATATAAAACGAAGACCTAACAAACAATGGGATGTGTGACTTCCGCCTCATTTCATGTTCCTTGTTTGGTTGTGGGCTTAGGGCAGATTCACACAACCGATTGTTTGTTTACTCTGGGTTTTATATAACTTGTATCCATTTAGTACTCATAGAAAGGATTGTAGAGTCATTTTTACTTATCTTTCATCATATCATAAGATATAGGATCTTATGGAGGAACAGGCGAACTTTTCTAAAAAGAACTTACAACTTACTTTACATCACTAAAATACTTATGAACTCACCAGCTTAAATGCTGATCTACGCTTTCAAAATAACTTGTATTCTCAGGAAACTAGTAGACATGTACGCGCGCTGGGATTCAGAAGATGAAGTATAGTAGCTTCATGTCTTGTTTTGTTATTTACTTCTGGACTCAATCTTTTGTCAATCACTACTTGTAAACACTTTAATATTAATGTAATGGTTATGTGTTACTTTGATTAATATGATGCATGTCTTGTGATACTAAACATGACGTCCTCCGTCCCCGAACGTTTTCGCCGTTCCGGTTTGGGGGTGTGACAGGAAGCACCTTCACAAGGATTTCACGGCCGCAAACTAGGGTTTACGGCCGTAAACCCATGTTGGCCGTGAACCCCTCTTCATATGAACGGTGTTCCTTCATTATTCATTCATTTGTCACATCTTCAAGTCAATAATTATCCTTTCTCTCTCAAGTATCATCAAGGATATCCTCCTTTATCTTCAAAAGTGTAAGTGATTCTTCCATTCTTTCTTGATATCCTTCTTATTCAAGTGAAACCCTATGATTTCATCCATGAATTCAACTCTTTTGGGTTTAGATCTTTAAATCATCATCTTTTCACCAAGAACATACACTTATTCTTGGGGCCGTAAACACCTTCAAGACTTCCATTAAGTAAGTATCCTTTCCATACACTTGTTATCCATTAGAAGCTCTTGATTTCCAACCAAGAAACAACCACTTTATGCATGATCTTCAAGAGTTTACCGACGTAAACCCTTCATTGGGCTGTAAACCCTTCATAGATCATATGGTGGCCGTGAACCCTTCAACCCATGGCCGTAAACCCTTCATAGGATCAAGCCTAGGGTAGTAAACACTTCATGTGTGGCCGTAAACTCTCTTATGGCCGTAAACACTTATAGTGTGGCCGTGAACACCCTATTATACAATCATATGTGATTGTAACACTTTATTCCAAGTGTTTCCTAGCACCTAAGGTTGTTCCCTTATAGGATTAGTTGTTATATACATTAATTATATACATATATGTGTAATTATATGCTTAATAGGATCCGTTTGTGCTCGAGACTTCACTTGGCATACTTAGCATCCTAATCGATCTTACATTCGAATCACTCACTACAGGTGAGTTCATACCCCTAAACTTATCTTTTAATGATTTTAAATGCTTTTATGGGGGGGATAAAGTAGAAAACAATATAGTTATAGTATCAATCACATATGATTTATAACTATCAAACAAAAAGGATTTCTTAGACTTCAAAACTGTGTTATCAAACAAACTGTTTCAAATCATTTTATAAACTTCTTTTATATCAAATCATATCTGTCTATCTATTTACGTATAAATATGCTTTAACAAACTTAGGACTATTGCTATATACATTGAATCCTGTTCCTTGTTTGGTTGTGGTGTCACACCCCCAAACTGGAACGGCGGAAACGTTCGGGGGTGAAGGACGTCATGTTCTTTTGATCCGCGGTCTGCCACCGATAGGTGGCCGATCGTGTTTCTTGAGAGGGTTGTATCCAAGTTATTCGACCAGGATTTATCTGAAGCGGTTAGTTTCCTGTTATCTTATCTGGTGGTGAATTTGATGCCCCGTGGGTGATGACCCCGGGCTCTACTGTCAGATTTCTGAGTGGGTACCGGTTGGGCTATCTTGGCGCGTGGCCTCTTTTCGCGTTGTCCCACCACCTAATTATTTGGTGGTGTGCAGAACTTGTGTACCCGGGAAGGGTGTTTACCAACTACGCCGTCCCCGGGGATGACGTAGTAATCGCGGATAAGAATGTCGCGACCCATTACAAGGAGTCCCTTGACCTCCTGTAGGTGGTTATTTCGAAAGAGAAATCACTAATATCAAGAAGTGGGTCCGCGGAATTCGCGAATAACTTTAGGGTTCGAGATTTGACAGTCGATCTCCCCCCGGTATCCATTAAAAAGCGTTATTAAACACTTTCCACCCCTACGGGTTGATGGCTGTTGCTCACCGTTATTCGGTGCGTGATTTCCGTTTGCTTTGTAGGCTGGCGAAGCTGTGGCGACTCGTGGAGTAGACAGCAAGCTCCGCTTGAACAGAAAGCAGCAAGCTGCAAGCACTACTCCAAAAGCAGTGAGCTCCGCAACAAAAGCGAAGCGAGCCGCGGTAGCCTATTAAGTTTTTCAGCTGCATCGTATCGTACTATGGGAGGGGTCTGTACCTCCTTTAGATACCATTTAAGGTAGTTTAACCAGTGGCGCATCCATCCATAAAGGAGAGAGTACTCTAGGAAATATCTAGATTCCTCAGTCTCGAACAGCTCATCGGGGGGCAATATCAGCTCCCGGGGCTTAAGTTTGGCTCGAAGGAGTCTCACCAAACGCCCATGAGCTTCTGGACTGAGTGGTCGTCCCTTACCCAACCAGAAATCAAGCGGGTAAGAAGGAGAGAGCAATTTTAGCCCCATAACCACAAGATGGGAATACCGTCTTGGGCGCCTATGGTTCACATAAGATAGACTTCAAAAGTAAATAACAAAACAAGACATGAAGCTACTATGCTCCATCTTCTGAATCCCAGTGCGCGTACCTGTCTACTAGTTTCCTGAGAATACAAGTTATTTTGAAAGAGTAGATTAGCATTTAAGCTGGTGAGTTCATAAAATTTTAGTGATGTAAAGTAAGTTGTAAGTTCTTTTAGAAAAGTTTACATGTTCCTCCAGAAAGTCCTATATTTCCTGATTTGATGAAAGATAAGTAAATGACTCTACAATCATTTCTATGAGTACTAAACGGATACAAGTTATATAAAACCCAGAGTGTACGGCGAAGGATGATTCAATTGCAGTTTCATGTAAGGATGAGAAGTTCCACGAATGAATTCCCGAGACACAAACGAGTCCTAAATGACATATAATGGCATATATAGGCATGTAATTAGTGTTTAAAAGCAACTAACATGCAAGGAAACTACCTTAGGGACTAGGAAACACTTGGACTAAGTGTTACAATCACATGTGATTAACTAAAGGGAGTATACGGCCACACCATGGAGTGTACGGCGAAGGGGTGGACGGCCATGGAGTGTACGATCGTACACTCATGGTAAATCATGTAAAAGAGGGTATTCGATCCATGGGGAAACTAGTGGGTCTATTGTACAACAAGAATATGAACAAAGTTCTCATTTTGGAGGGTCTTGAGGTGTGTACGGCCATGCAAGGGTGTACGGTCGTACACTCCTTTTGTTCATGAAATATGGTCATTTCTAGGGTGTTAATCATGAGTTTCTAATGTATATACTAAGCATATGGAAAGGATACTTACGATTTGGAAGCTTGAAGAGGGTTCACGACCACCAAGAACAAGAGTGTGTTCTTGGTGTTCTTGGTGAAATGGATGAATGTTTGAAGATCTATCATAAAGAGATGTTTTCATGGATGAATCATGAGATGATACATAACTAGGGAAGATATCAAGAAGGATAGAAGAATCACTTACGATTTTGGAGGATTAGGATGAAGAATCTTGATGATACTTGAGAGAGAACTGATTTTCAAGACTTGGAAGTGTAAGAAATGAAGTAAATGAAGGGATATGATACTTATGGGGGTTGTGCTCACGGCCATCATGGGTGTACGGTCGTACACTCCCGTTGATGGAGTGTTTGGCTCGATTGCAATGCGAAGAACCTAAGATAACACTTCCCTAAACCCAAAACTTGATTGTACTAAGCTTAGAACCCTTAAAATGATCCTGAACAATGCTAATTGATAGCAGAAACGAGTCTGACTCTCGGTTGAATTGAATGGCTGGACTTACAAGGCAAAAATTTTCGAGTTGTCACATGTCGGCTCGGGGTAGGATCACTAGTCCGAATGTCAGTTAAATCATAGTTATACTTATTAAATACATATGTGGATATTAAACTCATTTTAAAGGATTATACTTAACTTAGTAGCTTGGTAAGTAATTGAGTCTTTTCTATACATCAGTATCAGTCAAACAATCATACTACTAAACTATAATAGGTATAGTTTATAGGATTACTACTTACTACTTTTAGAACAATGAAACTTACAAGAGTTAGTTCATACATGAGTCAGTTCAAACATAATATAACTAGATCGAGAAGGAACATACTATAACTAGAACAAGAAGGAACATACTATAACTAGAACAAGAAGGAACATACTAACTAGAACATGAAGGAACATACATACTATTACAATAACAAAGATAACATTAATGTGAGCCACTACTTCATGGCATGGAAATATACTGCTGTGTCACGTTTTGTAACCAGAGTCTCCTGGGGGGAGAGCGTGAGTTTGTGTATAGATCTATATGGGATTGACCATCCTACACCTTGCTGCTAGCTACAGTGGGACCTCTAGGTCTACGGGTGACGAATGTCATACCATTTCGACGTCTTTGATCTTCGTGTTTTACTAGTCAATCAAGTATGGTTATAATCTCATCACATTTTACCTTAATTAAACAATTGGTTTAAGGTAGTTAGTACATCAGTAGTTACTTTATACAATACTACTGTACATCTTCATTTTCCCATTTACATTCATATAGTGATCTCACGTAAACGGTAATGTAAAATATTTTCTGGTAATGATAGTCATACTTGGGAAAACACTCACTTTTACAAAAGAACAAACATACAAAACAATCGGGTCTTGGTAGAAGACTACTTTGCAATTTAGTAGAAAAAATAGGATTTTCTAGGGATTATACAATCATTTACATCAAACATTCACAAACTTTTTCATCAAACTTATACAAACATTTGACATTAAATACTTATGAACTCACCAGCTTAAATGCTGATATACTCTTTCAATATAACTTGTATTCTTAGGTCACCAGTAGACAGGTACTGATGACCAGGTTTTTGAGAAGACAGAGCATGTTCAAGACTCGTCTTTTATTTTGATTCATATTTTGGTGTCTTTCAAACTTTACACAGAACACACTTGTATTAAATTATATTATTAATGCAATGGATGATGTTGTTGCTTGTTTTACTATTGTGCATTGTTATGATACTGTACATGACGTCCTACGCCCTGGAATGTTTCCGCCATTCTGGTTTGGGGCTGTGACAGCCAAGATACAAAAACTGGAGCAAGAGCTGTGGACTTTTATCATGGCAGGCTCAGACATAGTAGCCTACACTAATAGATTCAGTGATCTAGCGGCACTATGCCCCAGGATGGTTACCCCGGAGAGCAAGAAGATAGAGAGATACATTTGGGGACTATCTTCTCCTATCCAAGGAAACGTGATAGCGACGAAACCCCTCACGTTTGACAGTGCCAAACGTCTGGCTCAAACACCGGTGGACAATGGAGTTCGCCAAGGCTTGATGACTCATACTCCCGAGCCGACGAGAGGGGACGACTATGACCAAAAGTCCAAGAACAAAAAAAAGAGGCAACCAACGTAAGAACCCTCGGAAGAACAACAGGTTGTTACGGTTCATGCTACCACAACACCTACCACTCCAGCACCAGCCAGACAATATGCCGGAAACCTCCTGAAGTGTAACAAGTGCGGTTTCCATCACACCGGAGCGTGCCGAGAGTTAAATTGCAAGAACTGTCTCCACAAGGGGCACACTACTCGTTTTTGCAGGGCACCGACACGACCGATCTCCCAAGTCCCATGCACAGGAGTAAGCCAGGCCTGTTACGGGTGTGGCGAAACGAGACACTACAGGAGGGACTGTCCGATAACACAGAACTCTCGCGCCGACGGAAGAGTGCTGATGATCACCGCAAGGGAGACTCTTCCCGAACCACCTATAGACCGCAATACGTTTTCCAAAAAAAAAAATTTAAAAATTTTCTACGGAAACGATCAACACCTAAATCATAATCATAAATTGCACTCTCGTCTCAATAAATTACAACACGCATATAAAACTAACGACCATCGTAGGTAAGCTGTGATGGCTTGATGTATACGCTAGGGTCATATATAATTAAGAACCCATAGACATAGAGTGTGTGATTCTACCTTATTTCCTGTTTCTTGTTTGATTATGGATTTAAGGCAGAGTCACTCAGTCAACCGTCTTCTCAGCCTTAATTATATGTGACATGTAGACACTAAGCGATTATAGACGAACCTAGTGGGAATCATAGTATGAAGTATCATCACTATCTATCAGAACACTCTTACTGCCAGTATTTGCTTAACGCAGTACAAAACGTTCGCAGTAGTAATAACAAGGTTAAAACTGAAAGCACTAGAAACGTACACACAGATGCATTATCGCTCTAGCAAACACTTCTTTCGAATCGACTTAACATACGTGTCACTAAGAAGTTCTGACGTCATCTGAAATGGATTGGCTGGGTCCTCGCTGTAACAATCGCATGTGTTACCAGAACGACCCTTCGCCCTAAACTGACCGACAAACGAAACTCTTGTCACTCATAACGATAAACCAAATACGAACCTCAGACTCTTCTCTCGCTTCAAACCTCTGAAGCACTCATGCGAGGAGTACCTCACCTTCCGTAACCTTCCCGAAGTATCTCCAACAGACCCTTCGGGAATACCACGCGTGCAGCAAGTCAAGTTCAAGCACAGAGGCTAGGGACAAATACGGTTAGCCTATCGCTGTTAAGTGTATACACGAGGGTGGTATATAATTAAGATTTTAAGGACTCAGGATGTTTGTTTCTGCCCTATCTCCTGTTCCTTGTCTTGTTGTGGACTTGGGGCAGAGTCACCCATCCGACCGTCTAGTCAATATTAATTATATACGACTTGTATACACGAGGCGGTGATAAATGACCAGATATGAGTCCTACCATGAACTTCAGGACAAAAGTTGCCTAGGACTACGAGTGAACATGCTACCATTCGAATGAACATAGACAAGTAATCCGAACCCACAACCTTTCTACCGACTAGAACCACAGACTCAACAGTGAAGATCCGTAGGAACGCCAAGCGAGGATCTGAATTCGCTGGAGAACGAGAAGTTCAGAGGGAACCGAAGTACCCATTTCTTTCCTAGTTCCGAGTAACCATTCAGAATTTGAATTTCGGGACGAAATTCCCTCTAACGGGGGGATGATGTCACAACTCGAAATTTTAAACCTAGCAAAGTCTAAAACCTAATCTAGCACAAGTGAATCTACATTGCACTCCTTGTTGCATTGTAGCCTCTATAGCCTTAAGGGCTTGTTTATAAGCTAGTAACTAAACATAAATTGAAACCTAAATAGTTTAAGTTAGTAAAATTCATGTTTTAGCAAAAGGTTAAAGTTTAAAACATAAACAAACATCATATATTGGAGAATTCGGTCATGGAAATCAGTTAAATGATGAAATTGGTTTTTGGAATCAATTACAAATGGAGTTTTCGGCCACTAAATCAAACTAAGAGAGAATTTGGTCTTGGTATGACCGAATTCACATGGATATAGCCCATTAAGGA